CGCCAGACACAAAGATGACCTGAAACTCCTCCGGGAAGCCATCGATTCGCTACCTCCTCTCTCCGTCAAGGCTTGTTCTCAGACGTTGCGTTCTTGCTTTCACTCTCTTTCTCTCTGGTTTACACTTTATACATTTTTTTCCTTCTCCATCTTAAGATCAACTCAGTAAAACCTCCTGTTTGTTCAAGTGAAATGATAAAACTGGGAAACGAGTGCTTGATGCGCTATGAGTTTGCCTTCAACTGAAAAAATGTAAAATATCAATGTTTCACGGATTTTCTGTTCTTGTTACCATGTCAACAGAAGATAACATATTGATAGGAAGATAGAAAATACGAAGGTTTATGCTGTCGCTAAGTACTATTAATTTCACTGATTAATCATTGATTTCTTAAAGATTATTAACTATAAAAAATCTTCAAAGTCCATTAATTAACCAGATGATGGTATAAATTTAACTGTCGTTTATGAACGGACATGTTCTTTCCGAAAACTGAAAAGACACAAAAACGGCGACAGACACCTCTTCATCATCTATAAATAGTTGAAAAGATTTGGCCTTTTACATCAGTGTATGTGTATTAGAATCAATTCTTACTAATATACTTTCTTCATCATCTTTGCTGTTAATTACCGAGATTTTCAGGCAAGCACACAATGGCCGCCAATAATAGGATTCTGTTTATCGCCTTCATAATGTCCGCATTTGTGCTGATGGCAATGGCAGAAGGGGCGGAGAGAAATACAAATGCGCATTGCATGATAGAGTGCTATTCGGAATGCATGCAAGTCGACATTTTTACGCACGGGGATTGCGAGAGCGGATGCAGAGTTGCCTGTGCAAGAAGATATACAAGGAAAGTATCAGTGGATGGTCAAAATGGGTTCCTGCCTTCGTGGGTGTAACAATCATCACAAAGCTTTTATTTCATTTTAATGTGTCATCACAAAACTTTTATCACATTTTAATGTGATTCTTTTCATTTTATCTATCTTTGTGATAGAAATCAAAGCAGTCAAGTTTCGGATTCTTTGTAGATTTTCAGGAAATTTGATATGAATGTTTTTTTTTTCTGATATGTATCAGATTGGTTTTCGCCAAAGCCATAAATATTGATTTAATCATATTTTCTGTAAATAAGTTGAAAATGATTGCTCGTTACAATCTGAGTTTGCCTCATTTTTTAAATTTCTTCTTTTCAACGTGAAACATGGCAAAACTTGTGCATAGTTTATGAACAGACTCAACGCTTCAACACAAACCATTTCATCATCTTTAAATAGTTGAGAAAATCTGGCCCTTTAAATCATCTCTGCGTTAGAATGAAATCAATTCTTACAAATAAACTTTCTTCATCCTCTTTACCGTTAATTATCAAGATTTTCACGCGAGCACAGAATGGCATCCAAGAATGGGATTCTGATTATTGCTGTCGTTATGTTTGCACTGATGGCTATGGCAAAAGGAGAGGAGAGAAATAAAAATATACATGACTAATTATTGGCAATGCAAACAAATCGAGATTTTCACGCATAGCGAATTCGAGCATGGGTGCAGCCTGTGACGGGTTCTTGGCCCCATGGATGTAACGGATCAGTGGACATCAAATTTTATCACATTTTAATACTAAGTTAACATATTTATTTTCTTGTCAGGTTTTCATCTCAGTAACTGCAGTATTCTTTTTTAGCTTATCATCATTTCTGATTACCTTCATGTTTTCTGGGAGTAAAGCAACATGCATGAATCACAGCCTACATCCCCATTACTTATTCCATATTTTTCTCATGAGTAATGGGGATGTAGGCTGTGATTCATGCATGTTGCTTTATGCCAAGAAAACAGGAAGGTTTATTATGAATACTTAGTTTTGCTAATTAATAAATGACATCGTACTGATAAAAATCATTGGCAAGTTTGAAATTGATTAATTGACGGGGGGAAAATAATCATCATTTACATAATCTTTTACAGATTGATAACCATTTACATAATCTTTTACAGGTTGATAAGCTTGTCAAAAAGGTTCGAACAATTGAGAGAATTTATGTCAAATTAACTTGCTTTCTATTGCTGTGTTTAGTGTATAAATAATGTACAAACATTGAATATACAAGGAAAGGAAATAAAAGGAAACAAACATAATTCCTAAAATCAGCGTTTCCAAATTCGATTCTAGCTATATACGGTAACATCCCCCCTCAAATTGATGCGGGGAGATCAACCAACAGCAATTTGTCAACAAGGAATTGATGCCGTAGTCGAGTCATTGCTTTAGTGAAAATATCGACCACCTGAAGAGTAGAAGAAATGTAGGGAAAGGATATCACATGATCCGTCAAAGTGTCACGAATAAAGTGACAATCAACCTCAATGTGTTTGGTGTGTTCATGAAAGACGGGATTGCCTGCAATCTGAATAGCGCTAGTGTTATCCGCATGGAGAGGAGTAGGATGAGGTTGAGGAAACCCAAGTTCGGCCAGAAGACCACGTACCAAATAATCTCAGAACAAGTTGTAGACATGGCACAATACTCAGCCTCAGTAGATGATTTAGAAACACGATCTTGTTTCTTACATTTCCAAGAGATCAATGCATCACCCAAAAACATACACCAACCCGTAGTAGACCGACGTGTATCCGGGCACCCAGCCCAATCAGCATCACTATAGGCTAAGAGCTGAAGAGAA